AGCTCCAAAAATGCCTCGCGGCCTCTTAGAGCGCCATTGAAGCGGGGCCAACAACTCCCGTCGTGCCCTGCGGAACATACGAAAGTATTGATGGCTGGCCTACAATTCCCTTCATGCTCCGCGGCCCCGTGGAGTCTAATGGAAGCCGGGCCTACACCTCCCGTCATGCCACGCAGCCACACAGAGTGCCCGGTACACGCCCCCAAATGTCCCCCCAAACCCAAAGTTTCTCCTCAGTTGCCCCCACGGACCCCCAAGTGCCTCCCAGGATTCCTAAGTGATCTCTCAGCCCCCACTCAGGACCTCCGACTGCCCTCACAGACTCCCAGGTGCCCCCCTAAACCTCCCCCCGCCCCACAGACCCTCAGTCTGCGCCTACAATTCCCATGCTGCCCAGAGCCTACAACTCCCCTCATCCCCCGCGCCCCACAGAGGCCAGGTAAAGCCAGGATCCAGCTCACCAAGTGACCCTGAGTGCCCTCAGACCCAAAGTTCCCCTCGGGTGCCTTTTGAGTGTCCCTTAAATGGCTCCTCTGACCCATAAGTGGCTCTTAGGACCGCCAAGTGCCCCCAGACCCCCAAGTTCCCCATCGAGAAACTTCCTTGCCTACAGCTCCCATCATGCCCCGCGACACCCATTGAGTTATATTACAAACATGCAAACAGCTCCCACCAACCCCCGCGCCCCATAGAGAATCATTATAACTAATAGAGCCCCATTTCAAACACGCATACAACTCCCATCAGCCCCCGCACTCCATAAAGAATCGTTATAACCCATAGAGTCCCAAAGAGAATCATTATCACCCATAGAGCTCCATTACAAACACGCATAAAACTCCCACCACCCCCCGCGCCCCATAGAGAATCATTATAACCCATGGAGTCCCCTGGAAAATTATTATTACCCATAGAGCCCCATTACAGGCGTGCATACAACTCCCATCATTCCCCGCGCTCCATAAAGAATCGTTATAACCCATAGAGTCCCATAGATAATCATTATAACCCATAGAGCTCCATTACAAATGCGCATACAACTCCCACCACCCCCCGCGCCCCATAGAGAATCCTTATAACCCATAGAGCCCCATTACAAACACGCATACAACTCCCATTATCCCCCGCGCCCCGTAGAGAATCATTACAGCCACGCCTACAACTCCCATCATCTTTCACGCACCATAGCGCCCCAGTTACTCGCTTACAACTCCCGTCATGCCCCGCACCTCCCATAGCCCATCATTGCATGCCCCTCCCCTCCCGCACTACAACACCCGTGCTGCCCCACGGTGCTTTTCCCGTGGTTTTTCGCTCCCCTCAGCGCCCCCCGGCCATGATGGCGGAGGCTCTGGAGCGCTGGCTCTGGGAGGAGATGGAGCTGCCACCCTCCGCCATCCCCTCCCCGGCAGCGCTCCGCAGGTCGGGACCAGCCGGGGACCCCCATGGGGACCCCCCTGAGGCGGGGAGGGGCTGGGGGGTTTCGGGGTACCGGGGGTGGGAACCCCCCGAGGGCTCAGTGAGGGGAGAGCGGGAATGTGGGGGGGGCTGAGGAGGTTTGGGGTCCCCTTGGAGGGTCCTGAGAGGTTTTTGGGGGGTCCTGGGGGGATTTTGGGGTCCCTCTGGAGAGTACTGGAGAGGTTTTGGGGTCCCTTTGGAGAGTACTGGAGAGGTTTTGGGGTTCCTTTAGAAGGTGCTGGAAGGGTTTGGGGGTCCCCTTGGAGGGTCCTGGGGGAATTTTGGGGATCCTGAAGGGATTTTGGGGTCCCTTTGAAACATCCTGGGGCGTTTTGGGGTCCCCTTGGAGGGTACTGGCGGGGTTTTGGGGGGTCCTGACAGAGTTTTGGGGTCCTTTTAACGGGTCCTGGGGGGGTTTTGGGGTTTCCTTGGATGGTCCTGAGGGGGTTTTAGGGGTCCTGAGTGAATTTTGGGTCCTCTTGGAGGGTCCTGAGGGGGTTTAGGGGTGCTGGGGCCATTTTGGGGTCCTTTTGGGTGGTCCTGTGGGAGTTTTGGGGTCCTTTTGAGGGGTCCTGGGGGGATTTTGGGGTCCTCCTGGAGAGTCCTGAGGGGATTTTTGGGTCCCTTTAGAGGGTGCTGGGTGGGTTTGGGCGGTCCTGAGGTGGTTTTGGGGTCTCTTGGAGGGTCCTGAGAAGTTTTGGGGGGTCCTGGGGGTATTTTGGGGTCCCCTTGGAGGGTAATGGGGAGGTTTGGGGAGGTCCTGACGAGATTTTGGGATCTTTTGGACAGTTCTGGGGTGTTTTGGGGTCCCTTTGGAGAGTCCTGGGGATGCTTTTGGAATCCTTTAGGAGGTCCTGGAGAATTTGGGGTCCCCTTGAAGGGTCCTTGGGAGGTTTTGGGGGGTCCTGAGGGGATTTTGGGGTCCCTTTGAAGGGTCCTGGGAGGTTTTGGGGGTCCTGGGGGGATTTTGGGGTCCCTTTGGAGGGTCCTGGGGTGGTTTTGGGGGTCCTTTTGGGGTCCCTTTTAGGGCATCCTGAGTGGATTTGGGGATTCCTGGGGGTGATTTTCGGGTTCCTGGGTGAATTTTAGGCTCCTGGGTGAATTTTATGGTCACCCCCAAATGTTGGGGTGCCCCAATTCCCTCCCCTGCAGGCTCTGCTCCGGCCCCACAGCCCCCATTTGGGATTACGTCATCCGCCACGTCCGGAACCAGCGGTGAGGGGGGACCCCAACATTGGGGAGGGTGAAAAACCTCAAAAATTGAAAGGGGACCCCAAAATTTAAGCGGAAGGAGGGGGAGATGCTTTCCGGGCCTACAGCTCCCATCATCCCCCGCGCCCCACTGAGTTCCATTATAGCCAAGCCTACAGCTCCCATCATCCCCCGCGCCCCATTGAGTTCCATTATAGCCGGCCTACAGCTCCCATCACGCCCCGCGCTGCCCAGAGAGCATCATTGCAGGCCCCACCCCCCCGAACGACAGCTCCCATCATGCCCCGCGGCGCTTTTCCCGCTCTTTTTCCCGGTTCTCCCCTCACCGAATTTTGGGGTGTCCCCACAGGAACGTGAAGAAGATCCGAGGAAATTTGCGCTTGTATCCGAAATTTTGGAGGATCCTCAAAAATTTGGGGGTTCCTGGAATAGAAAATTCTGGAAACCCCAAAATTTGGGGTGGGGGTGCCCAAATTTGGGGGTTCAACCTTGAATTGGAGATTTTTGGGGAGTCCCCAAATTGTTCCTTAACTCGAGGTTCAGGTACGGGCACCTGCAGGAGCTGGCGGTGAGCGGAACCCCAAAACCTGAGGGGGAATTGGGGTCAGATTTGGGGTGGGGAACCCAAAATTTGGGGGGGGCTCCCTCTGATTTGGGGACATTTTGGGGAAATTTTGGGATTTTTGGGGAATTTTCAGGAATTTTAAGGGATTTTTTTGGATTTTGGGGGATTTTTTGGGATTTTTGGAGGGGATTTGAGGGAATTTTGGAGGGTCCAGGGGAGTTTTGGAGCTTGAAATGGGATTTTTTTTGTGGGCAAAATGCAAAATTTTTGGAGATTTTTTTTGGGTTTTGTGGGAATTTTGGGAGGGATTTGGGGGGTTTGGGGCATATAAAAGTGATATTTCAGGGGATTTTTTGGGGAATTTTGAGGATTTCTTGAGGGATTTTTTGGATTTTTCAGGGTTTTTGGGGAATTTTGGAAAAGACTTTGGGGAGTTGTTGGGATTTTTTGACAATCTCAGGGATAACTGGGTGAATTTTGGGGGGAATTCAGGTGGATTTGGGGTCCATTTTTAGCCTCATTTTTGTGGGATTTTGGGAAGTTTGGGGAGAATTTTGGGTGATTTTTGGGGAGAATTTGGGGTTTTTTTTTGGGATTTTTAGGGGAATTTTGTGGATTTTTTGGGGGATTTTTTTTGGGAATTTTTGGGGATTTTTGGATATTTGGGAATTTTCAGGGTTTTTGGGAATTTCGAAAAAGATTTTGGGATTTTTTGACAATCTCAGGGCTACTTGAGGGAATTTTGGGGTGAATTTGGGAGGATTTAGGATCAATTTTGAGCCTCATTTTTGTGGCATTTTGGGGTTTTTGGGAGTTTTTGGGGGAATTTTGTGGATTTTTTTGGGGAATTTTGGTGGAATTTTTGGGGGAATTTTAAGGATTTTTTTGAGGGGCAATTTTGGGGATTTTTTGGAGGATTTGGGACCATTTTAACCCTCATCTTTGTGGAATTTTGAGGTCCTTTGGTGGAGTTTTCCCGTTTGTTTGGGAGTTTTGGGTATCATGAGGATGCTGGGCACAATCTCAGGGATTTTGAGGTGAATTTTGGGGTGAATTTGGGTGGATTTGGGTCCATTTTGAGCCTCATTTATTTTTAAATTTGGGGATTTTTGGGGGGATTTTTTCGGGGGCAATTTTTTGGAGATTTTTTCAGGGAGTTTTTGGGGGGGAAATTTGAGATTTTTTAGGGGAATTTTGGGGATTATTTTGGGAGGGAATTTGGGTGAATTTGGGCGGAGTTGGGGTCGATTTTGAGCCTCATTTTGGTATTTTTTTTGTGGGATTTCCCCAAACTTTGGAGTTTTGGGTATCATGAGAACCATGGGCCCAATCTCAGGGATATTGGGGTGAATTTGGGTGCATTTGGGCTGAATTTGGGTGGATTTGGGTCCATTTTGAGCCTCGTTATTATAAAATCTTGGGGTTTTTGGCGGAATTTTTGGGGGGAATTTGGGAATTTTTTTGGAGCCTCGTTTTTTTAAATTTGTGGGGATTTTTTGGGAGGAGTTTTGGGGGGGGAATTTTGGAGAGTTTTTGGGATTTTTTTCAGGGAATTTTGGGGTCAATTTTGAGCCTCGTTTTTGTGGAATTTAGTGGTTTTTTGTGGGATTTTCTCAATATTTTGAGAGTTTTGGGTATCGTGAGAACCCTGGGCACACTCTCAGGTACATTTGGGTGAATTTTGGCTGAATTCTGGCGCTTTTGGGCCGTTTTGGCGTAGGCCGCTCCGGCTCCGCCGGGCCAGCAGGGGGCGCTGCGCGCAGCGATGGAGCGGCTCCGGAAAGAGGTGCGGGACCTGGGGGGCGCCATTGCGGACGCACAGGAAACGGCGCAGCGCCTCGGTGAGTCCAGCCGAAAACGCGGCCCCCGCACAAAGGTTCCTACCCTCAAAACCTCCATTTCGGGGGCTCCCCACCCCCAAATTTTGGGGTCCGCGCCATTTTTGGGGTCTCATAATGCCCCTAAGTCCCAATTTTGGGGTCCTCACCACAAATTTGGGATTCTTGCCCACTCAAAACCCCAATTTTGCGGTCCCTGACCCGCCCCTAACCCCAAGTTTGGGGTCCCTGATGCGCCCAAACCCCAATTTTGGGGTCCCTGAACACCCCAGACACAAATTTGGGGGTCCCCACCCCGAAATTTTTGGATTCCCCCAATTTTTATGGTCCCAGAACCTCTGAACCCCAAATTTGGGGTCCCTGAACACCCCAGCCCCAAATTTGGGGTCCCTCTCCCCAATTTTAGGGTCCCAGCACCCCCAAAACCCCAACTTTGTGGTCCCATGTCCTCCTGGACCCCAATTTCGTGGTCCCTGAGCCACTAAAGCCCCAGTTTGGCATCTTCACCCCAAATTTTGGGGTCCCCTTTCCCAGTTTTGGAGTCCCTGGACCCCCCCCCCAAGCCCAATTTTTGGGTCCTTTCTGTATTTTTGGGGTCTCTACCCCCAAAATGTTGGGGTCCCCCTGATTTCTAGTGTCCCAGAACTCCCATAATCCCGATTTTGGGGTTCCTGACCCCCCCCAAACCCCAGTTTTCAAGTCCCCATCCCCAATTTTGGGGTCCCAGAAACCCCCAAACCCCAATTTTTCTCCAAGCCCTAAATTTCGGGTCCCCTTCCCCCTTTTTGAGCTCCCAGGACCACCAAAACCCCAAATTTGGAGTCCCTGAACCCCCAAAACCCAAATTTTGGGGTCCCTTCCCCATTTTTAGGGTCTCTGATTGAGGCCAAAACCCAATTTTTGGGTTCCATATCCTCCTAGACCCCAATTTGGGATCCCCTTCCTCAATTTTGGGGTCCCTGATCCCCTAAATCCCAATTTTGGGGATCCCCTTCCCTAATTTTAGGGTCCCAGACCCCCCAAACTCCAATTTTGGGGTCCCTCCCTCCAAATTTTGGGGTCCCTTCCCCATTTTTGGGGTTCCAGACCTCTCCCTAAACCCCAAATTTGGGGTCCCTGAACCCCCCAAACACCAATTTTGGGGTCCCCATCCCCATTTTTAGGATCTCTGAGCCCCCCTAAACCCAGATTTGAGATTCTCACCCCAAATTTTGAGTTCCTCCCCCAGTTTTGGGCTCCCCTCCCTCAATTTAGGGGTCCCAGACTCCCCAAACCCCAAATTTGGGGGTTCTCACCCCAACCTTTGGGGTCCCCCTTTCCCCCCCAGACGGCTCGCTGGAGGAGGCACAGAGCCGGCGGTGGGTGGAGCTTCAGCGAGGGGCGGAGCTTCGGCTGCTGGGGCGGAGCCGGGCCTGGCTGGGCTGTGGGACAGCCACGAGGGGGCGGTGAGGGCAATCCATAAAAGGTAAAGGGGCGGGGCCTGAAGGGCAGGGTTGAAGGGGCGGGGCCTTGCAGTGTTTCCTTATATGGGCAATGGGGGAATTTGGGGGATTTTAGATTCTTTAGTCCCTGACTGAATTTTGGGGCCGTTCAGGGGATTTTGGGTGATTTTTGAGGGGATTTTGGGGGATTGTCTGGAACTTGGCAGGATTTTTAAAGGTTTTTAAGAGATTTTTTGTGTGTCTCGGGGATTGTGAGGAGATTTTGGGGCATTTTGAGGAGAATTTGGGGTCCCTGAAGCGTTTTTTGTCGATTTTGGGTTCCTGAGGGAATTTTGAGACAATTTGAAGGATTTTGAGGGGATTTTGTGTTCCTAATGGGATTTTGGGAAATTTTGAAGGGTTTTGAGGAGGTTTTGTGGTCCATGAGGGGATTTTTGAAGACTTTTGTGGTTCCTGAGGGGATTTTGGGGTCCCTGGTGGGAATTTTCAGATTTTGGAGGATTATGAGGAAATTTTGATCAGATTTTTGGGTCTCTGAGGTGATTTTGGGGGATTGTGAGGCAATTTTTGCTTTCTGGGGAAAATATGTGGGGTTCCTGAGTGGATTTGGGGTTTCTGAGGGGATTTTTTTGGAATTTGGGTGAGATTTTGGGGTCCCTGAGGGATTTTGGGGGGACTTGAGGGATTTTGGGGGATTTTGTGTTCCTAAGGGGATCTGGGGGGATTTTGAAGAAATTTTGAGGGGTTTTGGTTGATTTTGAGGAGACTTTGGGGTTCTTGATGGGATTTTTGGAGTTCCTGAGTGGATTATGGGTAAATTTGGGGGATTTTGGGCATTTTGAGGACATTTTGGGTATTTTTAAAAGACTTTTGGGTCCCCTCAGGCCGGGCCAGTCCCGGGAGGAGCTGTCGGCCATCTTGGCCGCAGGGGCGGAGCCAAAAGTGCTGGTGAGTGAGCGGGGCCTGACATGGTGGGCGGGGGCCTGGAGACCATTCAGGGACCCCAAAATCAGCCCAGGACCCCCAAAATTCCCCCAAAATCAGCCCGGGACCCCCCAAAAATCCCCAAATTCCCCCAACCCCTCCCCCTCTGCAGGTGTCAATCAAGGCCCTCAGCAAGGCCAGGGAGGCGGAGCTCCAGAGGCCACGCCCACACAGGTAAGCCACACCCCTTCCTCCATAACCCCTAATTAACCCCTCAATTAATCAATTAATTAATGAACACCAGAGCTGCCAATCACCCCGGGAAGGCTCAGGGGGCTCCAGATTGGTCGGAACAGGCTGAGGTGGGCGTGGCTGGCTTGGGGAGGGGGCGTTGCTCTGCTCAGGCCACGCCCTCTGCTCTGACCCATGGTGCCCCTACAGGCTGTACTGATTGGCCAAGGCCCAGAGGCGGTGCTTTGGGCGCTGGAGGTCCTGGCCAATCAGAGCACAAGGTGGGTGGGGCCTGAAGGAGTGGGTGGGGCTTAAAGGGGAGGGAGTGGCCAAAAGAATGGCAGGGTCTTAAAGGGGTGGCTGTGGCTTAAAGAGATGGCTGGGGCTTAAAGTGTAGGTGTGCCTAAGAGGGTGGGTAGGGCTTTAATATGTGAGGGGGGCTCAAAAGGTGGGTGTGGCTTAAAGGGATGGGTGGGGCTTAAAAGGGTGGGTGGGGCTCAAAGGGTTAGCTGGATTTAATGGTGTGTGGGGCTTAAATGAGTGGGTAGGGCTTCAATGATTGGGTGGGGCTTAAATATGTGGGTGGGGCCGAAATTGTGAGTGGAGCTTAATGGATGGAGTGGGTTTAAAAGGGGTGGGTGTGGCATACGTGGGTGGAGCTTAAAGGGTGGGTGGGGCTTAAAGGGATGGGTGGGTGGGGCCAAAAGCATGGGTGGGGTTGAATAGGTGGGTGTGGCTTAAGGGAATAGGTGTGGCTTTAAGGAGTGGGTGAGGCTTAAAAGAACGGGTGGAGCTTAGGGTGGTGGGTGGGGCTTAAAGGAATGGGTGGGTCCTAAAGAGGTGGGTGGGGTCTTTAATAGGTGGGTGGGGCTTTAGGGGATGGGTGTGGCTTTATGAGAATAGGTGTGGCTTAATGGGGTTGGTGTGGCTTAAAGATGTGGGTGGGGCTTTAAGGGGTGGGTGGGGCCAAAATGGGTGGGTGGGTTTAAGGGGACAGGATGGGGCTTAAATGGTGGGTGGGGCTTAAAGGGATTAGGTGCATTAAATGTTGGGTCGTGCTTAAACAGAGGGTTGTGGCTTAAATGGGTAGGTGTGGCTTAAAGGGATGGGTCGGGCATAAACATAGGTGGGTGGGGCTTACAGACATGGGTGGACCTTAAAGGAGCGGGCAGGGATTAAATTAATTGGTGGGGCTTAAATGAGTGGGTGGGGCTTAAAGGAATAGGCTGGGCTTAAATGGAGTGTGTGGGGCTGAAGAGGTGGGTGTGGCCAAACTGACTGGGTAGGGCTTAAATGGGTGGGGCTTAGAGAGGTGCGTTGGGCTTAAAGGGGTGGGTGGGGCTTAATGCAGTGGGTGGATTTTAAAGAGGTGGGTGGAGCTTTAAAAGGTGGGTTGGACTTAATTGCATGGGTGTGGCCTAAAGATGCGGGCGTGGTTTTAAGATGTGGGTTCGGGCTTGAAGGGATTGGGTGGGTTAAATGTTGGATGGGGCCTAAACAGAGGGGTGTGGCTTCAATGGGTGGGTGAGGCTTAAAAGGTGGGTGGAGCTTAAAGAGAGGGGTGGGGCTTAAAGGGTGGGTGGGAATTAGAGATAGGTGGGGCTTAAAGGAGTGGGTGGGGCTTTAAAAGGTGGGTGGGGCATAAAGGAAGGGTGGGGCATAAAAGGGGAGGATGGAGCTTAAGGGCATGTGTAGAGCTTAAAGATGTGGGTGGAGGGTAAGTGGATGGGTGGGGCTTAAAGGGATTAGGTGGGCTAAATGTTGGGTGGGGATTAGAGGGGTGTGACCTAAATGGGTGGGTGGGTCTTAAAGGGATGGGTGGGGCTTAAAAGGGTGGGCAGGGCTTGATGGGTGGGTGGGGCTTAATTGGGAGGTGGGGATTAAAGGGGTGGGTGGACCTTTAGGATTTAGGTGGGGCTTACAGGGGTGGGTGGGACTTAAAAAGGGTGGGCAGGGTTTAAGGGGAGGGTATGGTTTCAACTGTATGGGTGTGGCTTAAAGATGTGGGCGGGGCTTAAAGGGGTGGGTGGAGCTTAAAGAAGGGTGGGGCTTAAAGGGTGGGTGGCAATTAGTGGTGGGTGGGGATTAAAGGATTGGGGGGGTCTTCAAATGTTGTGTGGGGCTTTAATAAGTGGGTGGGGCCTAAAGGAAGGGAGGGGCTTAAATAGGGTGTGTGAAGCTTAAGGGGATGAGCGGAGCTGAAAGGGGTGGGTGGAGCTTAAGTGGGTGGGGCTTTAAAATGTGGGTGGGTCTTGAAGGGATTGGGTGGGCTAAATGTTGGGTGAAGCTTAAACAGAGGAATGTGGCCTAAGTGGGTGTGTGTGGCCTAAAGGGGTGGGTGTGGCCTAAAGGGGTGGGTGGGGCTTTATAGGATGGGTGGAGCTTAAAAGGGTGGGTGAGGCTTAAAGGGATGGGTGGGGGTTAAAGGGGCAGGCAGGCCTTAAACAGGGGGTAGGTGGGGCTTAAACAGTTGGTGGGGCTTAAAGGGATGGGCAGGGCTTAAGGGGGTGGGTGTGGCCTAAAGGGCTGTGTTGGGCGGAAAGGGATTCGGTAGGGCTAAAATGGGTGGGGCTTAAAAGGGTGAGTGGGGCTTAAAGGGATCAGTGTGGCCGAAATGGGTGGGTGTAGCCAAAAGCAATGGGTGGGGCTTAAAGGGGTGGATGGAGATTAATGGAGTGGGTGTGGCCAAACGAATGGGTGGGGCTTAAAGGAGTGGGTGTGGCCAAAAGGAATGGGTGTGGCCTAAGTGAATGGGTGGGGCTTAATGGGGTGGGAGGGAATTTTGGGGGCTTTTAGGACATTTTGGGGTCCCTGAGGGGATTTCTGATGCCATTGGGGGCGTGGCCTCACACCTGTCAATCACAGAGATCTCCTGGCTGGCCCCACCCCCTCAGCCAAGGCCCCGCTTTCCCTGAAGAGCCTCCTGCAGGTGAGGGGGGAGGGGAACGGGGTTGGGGTCAAAATTGGGGATTTTGGGGCTTCTTGGGGTCAAAATTTCAGATTTTGGGCGTTTTTGGGGGGTCATAATTTCAGATGGGGGATTTGGGGCTTTTTGGGGTCAAGATTTTGAATTTGGGGGATTTTGGGGGGGATTTGGGGATTTCTCGGGTCAGATATTTGCATTTTGGGGAATTTTTTGGGGACTTGAGGGATTTTGGGAATTTTTAGGGTTGGGATTTGGGATTTTTGGGGGGATTTGGCAATTTTGGGGTCAGGATTTTGGGTTTTGGGGTGAATTTGGGGTTTTTGGGGTCCCTGAATTCATTTTTTGTGTCCCTGAGGTGTTTTTGGGGTGGATTTGGGATTTTTGGGGTGAATTTTGAGGTATTGGGGGGGTTTGGGGCAGATTTTGGGATTTTTGGGCTCCCCGAGTCCATTTTTGGGGCACCTTAGCTGGTTTTTAGGTAATTTGGGGTTTTTGGGGTGGTTTTGGGGTTTTGGGGTTTCTGAGTCAATTTTCAGGATCCCTGGGTCGTTTTAGGGGTGGACTTGGGGCTTTTGGGGGTTTCTGAGCTCATTTTTGGGGTGGATTTTTGGGATTTTGGGGTCCTCAGGCCATTTTGGGGTCCCTGATGTGCTTTTGGGGTCCCCAGGAGTGCTGGGGGGCCATGGGGGAGGTGTGGGGGGCGCTGCCCCCCCTCCTGTCCCACCTGTCCCACCTGAGGGGGCAGCTGGGACGCACCTGGAGCAGTGGACGGGCAACAATGAAGTCATCAGGTAACACCAAAATGTCCTGAATTATCCCTAAAATACCTCAATTATCCTAAAACATTCTAAATTAACCTCAAATGTCCCAAAATCCCTGAAATCCGGCCCAAAATAGCCCAAAAATCCCAAATGCTCCCAAAAATCCCCTGGGACACACCTGGAGTGGGGGATGGGCAACTATGGAGTAACCAGGTGAGACCAAAATCCCCTGAAATATCCTAAAATATCCTAAAATATCCCAAATCCATCCTAAAATACTTCAAATTATCCCAAATGTCTGAAATCCAGCCCAAATGTACCAAAAAATTCCCAAATCCACCCCAAACTCCCTGAAATTGGTCCTAAAATACCAAAATTATCCCAAATATGTCCTAATGTACCCAAAATTCCCAGTTTTTATTGCCTTTTCCCCAAAATCCCCATTTTTCACCTCAAAATCTCCATTTTTCTTCTCCTGTTTTCCGAATTTTATCCCCCAAAATCCCCATTTCTATTCCCATTTTTCCCTCCAAATTCCCATTTTTATTCCCATTTTTCTACCTATTTTCCTCTCAAAATCCCCCTTTCCCCCCCCCATTTTTCCCCATTTTTTCCCCATTTTCTCAATTTCCCCATTTCTCACCCCAGATTTCCCTGCACTCTCCCCCCCCAAGGCTGTTCCTGCTCTGGGTGGGGCTCTCGGCCTTCTGGGGCTCCA